AATAAAAAGTGATTTCGCCTACCTTCATCGCCTACCTTAATTTTTATAAATTATTGTTTTATATTTTATTATTTTGTTTATTATTATAAAGGTTTTTGGGAAATCTAAAAAAATAAATTTCAAGAAAAATTGAGCTCATTAGACTTGTTTCTCATTCTTCTATCAGCTTCAATACTGAGGTGCATTGGAAGATTCAATATAGTTATCCCTTGTGTAGAGTGGTTCAAAGCAATTACAACAGACTTCCAAGATAGAGGAGACTGTTTAGGACAATAGACACTTGCATGCGATCAGGGACTGTATTCCCGGCCGTAATAAGGTCCTTTGCGAACACTACCATTTTATTGACATGCTTGGTCACTGAGTCTGATTCTTTTATTCTACAATAATTGTCTTTTTCTAACAACAATTTCATATGGGTCTCAGAAGTGGTCCCATACTTTTAAGATAGGACAGCCATCATACTTTGAGATGTAGTGTGATCCTCAAAACTCTAATTAAATCATTTTTCATAAAGCTTAAAGTAGTAGTCCTAGCTATTTTATCATCTTCTAACTATTTGTCAAGTCGTATTTTGGCTTGACCATTGACATTAGACTCTAAAACTGGTGATTGACATAATCTACTCCATCTTGAAAAAAAATATATCCAAATTTATTTTTCTATTTAAAAAAATGGGAAAGCTGTCTATACTCATCTACGTCATTGAACTTTTATTCTCCCCGACCTTTTTAACCATTGGCTTAAAATTGAACGTTTACACGCGTTCCCTCAAATTGTCACAAAATGAGGGCACATTATCAACCGGTAACCCATATGAAATAAGTCCATACTAGGGATAAGAGTACCCAATTTTTAAGGAGAGAGAGAAAGCACGGGAGAAGATGGGGACAGAGGGTGTTTTTGAGGAGAGAGAGAGCACGCAGATTAGAGGGAGAGAGGGCCTCTTGGAGGGAGAGAGAGCAAACTGGTTGTCTACATCGATGACTCTACAACTAATTTGTTTGCTTCCATTACTAAAACCCACCTCCAAAAAGCTGTTATCTCCATTACCCATTCTCCATTAGTAGCACCCCATGACCTCATTTTCTCTCTCTTGAAGAAATGCGTGAAAGCACCCCAACTGAAACAGATACACGCCATCATGTTCAAAATTTCTCTTTCTCACGATTCTTTTGCAGTAAACCAATTCGTCTCTGCCTGCTCGAGCACAGGCTCAATGGACTATGCAATTTCCGTGTTTGCCCATTTGCAAAAGGCCAACATATTTGTTTGGAACTCCATGATCAAAGGCTTTGTGCATTGGCATTCTTATCAAAAGGCCATTTCCATGTACAAGAAGCTCTTGGTTTCCCCTGTTTCAGCAACCAGTTACACTTTCTCTTCTGTGATCAATGCTGGCACCCAAGTATTGGGCTTGAGCGTAGGAGAATCCATTCATGGCCAAGCTTTGAAATGGGTTTTGAATTCTCAGGTCTTTGTTGGAACTGCGCTGATCGATTTGTACTCAAATCGTCGTGAGATTTGAAATGATCGTAAGGTGTTTGATGAAATGGAGTCTAGGGACGCAGTCACTTTTACCATGATGATTTCAGGTCATTGCAAGATTGGTGAACTGAGTTTTGCTCAAGAACTCTTTGATGCCATGCCTGAGAAAAACACAGCTTCATAGAATGCTTTGATTGATGCTTACTCAAAGGGTGGTGATATAGAAAAAGCGGCTTCACTCTTTGATGAAATGAGTCATAAGGATTTGGTTTCTTGGACCACCATGATCTCGAGATTTTCAAAATATGGAAGGTTTAAAGAGGCTATAGCTGTATTCCAAGAGATGGAGGCCCAAGCTGTGAGCCCTGATTCAGTAACCATGGCTACAGTAATCTCAGATTGCGCACACCTAGGGGGCCTTGATTTAGGGAAAGAGAGACATAACTATGTTAGCTGAAATGGTTTCAATCTTGATGTCTTTATAGGATCCTCTTTGATCCATATGTATGCAAAGTGTGGGAGCTTAGAGAGATCCCTTCTGGTTTTCTACAAGCTCCATGAGAAGAACCTCTTTTGTTGGAACTCAATGGTCGAGGGGCTCGCCATGCATGGACATGACATGCAAGCCATCAAGCTCTTTGAAAAGATGGAAAGATCAGGAGTTAAACTAAATGGGGTGACCTTTGTTGGGGTTCTCAGTGCTTGTGCCCATATAGGTCTTGTCGAAATAGGCCGAAGATACTTCTATGGGATGACTCATGAGCATGGCATTATGCCATGGATTGAGCACTATGGCTGTATGGTCGATCCTTTAGGGCGAGCAGGTCACTTAGAGTAGGCAGTAAGGCTCATGGAAAGCATGGAAATGGAGCCTAATGCAGTGATATGGGGTGCTCTTTTAGGGGGTTCTAAGATTCATGGCAATGTCGGTTTGGCTGAAATTGCAGTCAATAATTTATTAGAGTTAGAGCCTGGTAATAGTGGGTATTATATGTTATTGGCAAATATTTATGCAGAGGAGAATAGGTCGGATGAGGTTGCGAGAAAAAGGGAGAGAATGGATTCAACTGAAATAATGAGAGATAATAGTATGACCTTCAGGAGTGTATTCAGAGCCTTGGAGACTTCTGAAGAGGATAGACATTGCATGTGGAAGGAGATTCAGCAAGTGGCATTAAGTGGTGCAAAGAACTTTGGGAGACACCATGGTATTGGAGGTTAATCATGGATAAACAAGCTAATCTACCTCAAAAAGGCAGTTTCTTTTCGAGCACATAACAACAAAAATGAAGAAGCTGGGCTAATTAAGAAAAATAGCAGCGAAAAGGAGGGAGACCATAATATTGAGGGAAATATATAAGAGCAAGGAGACTCATATTGAGCTCTTCTTTGCTCAGTGCTCAATTCACTGCCTAATCACATGCTGGGCCTTTACTTTGTAAATTGCATATACCCAAGCCTCAGATTTATCTCTCATTATCAACAATATTATTTATTACAAAGGAAAAATGTTACTTCTTTAGCTTCCTTTCATAAATCCAAATGCTGTTTTATTACAAAGAACATTCTCAGGCCTAAGAATTGTATCTCATTGTCTGCAATGTTAGTCTTTTTCACTTTCTTGTGATCATAATACAACAATAATGTTTTTTTTACTTTTAATCTCTTGAAACACCAGGGCGCAAGCACCAAGGGTGAAGGGGAAGGGTGTACTTAGGTAGGGGCTTTTTACATATTTGTAATTTAAAGTCTTGTAGTTGGATATGCACAAACTCAATTTTGCAGGCATATTTTGATATAGTGCCTTGCCCTCTTACTCTATGTACGTGCAACATCTATTTAAGACAGTAACCTTTCTCAAATGAATTCTATTTCTTATATTTTGTCTTTTTCCTGGTGAATTGGGAGTTGAGGCAATGTCTTTTCTTGGTGAGTTCTATTTAGGACAGGCCCCTAAATACATACTAATTCTTTTTGTGGGAATCATGGATTGCAATTCAAGTTTTCAAACTGGGTTCCCAGGGAATTTTCTTTCGATTCAGGCTTGGTGTTTCCTTTTGATTCAAGGAATTTGGTCTACGCAGTGAAAATGTTAAAATGGACAATCAGTGGTAGTTTTAATTTCTTATCAAGGTTCTAGAAGCAAATTTGGGTAGTTTTCTGCGAGCATGTATGCTTCTACCTTGATATCAACTTCTTACCTAATACTATCTAGTGTATGAATTTGGGGGAATTAGAAATAGCATTTTTAACTGACATAAATTAGAAACAAAGGCTATCTCCACACCCATACTATCTATTGTATGAATTTGGTGTACTATTATTTTAGTATTAAAATCTGTGGAGTACTATTGGAAGCACAAACCATCCATAGAGTTTGTAGGGGGGAGAGAGAAAGAGAGTGAGAAACACGCACACACACCAAAGAGTGATAAAGAGAGTAAGATAGCTAGGTCATGGGATAGCGCCAAAGATCTACATATTGTTTGCAACATATGGAAGCTTAACAAAAAATTTATTTACAACATCAATTTGCAAAATGGAAAGCTATACAAAAATTCCATTTGAAGCTATCAACATGTACTTTGAAACTATACAAAATTCTACTTGCAACATGAATTTGCAATATATGGAAGCTATACAAAAATTCCATTTCGAAGCTCCATTCCAAGATAAAGTCTTCTCCACTAGCATTGGGGTTGCAAAAAATTTCTAACATGATGAGCTTGATTGTTGAGCATTGAGGTTGCAAAAACTTTCTGAGATGATGAGCTTGATTGTTGAGCATTGGGGTCGCAAAAACTTTCTAAGATGATGAGCTTGATTGTTGAGCATTGGGCTTGCAAAATATTTCTAAGATAATGAGCTTGAGAGTTGACCATTGGACTTATACATAAAACTACAATCTTGTTCTTAAAGTTATGGCCTCTGCTTTGACTTCTTGCATTGTTATCCAAATTGATATAGTCATCGAAAATTTAAGATATACATTAGTTCAATAACCAATTGAAAATGAAAAGAACTAAGCATTTAACATGAGACACATGTCATTATATCCTAATACATTTAATATATAGCAATAAATCGGTGCAAATGTATTATCGATATACCATAAAAAAAAACGAATAATGTACATAGGGAAGTCTGCATATTGTTTCGCTCAGCTTCAGGCTCGATTGTGGGAAATGGACGCTTTATAAGAAGTAGATAAGCACTAAGGTTTGCAATGGGTAGAAGGTATGGCATGACTAAGTGTTGCCAAGATAAATATACTAACAATATGCACAGGTAGAAGATAAATATTTGAAGGCCCAATGGCTACCCGCCGTATGTGCCAAATACTATGGCACTTGCAATTACCCCATGAACAACTTCTTCCGAGCACTGGGCATGGATCACCTCCGCTACGAGATGAGCCGCTACTTGTATGCTTCTTCGAGCCCTAAGCTGCGCAAATTCTTCAAGAAATCGTTGTCGGCACAGACGTGGAGCCAGAACACGACCTGGATCGGCTGTGGCGGTGGCCACCGACCCCGATGTGGTGCAGAAGCTCGGGCGGCGGGACATCGTGTTTCCATGGTGCGGCACGGTGACGTACCTGGAGTGGGTGGAGGACCTGATGGAGTACCAGGTGGGGCCCAAGTCTTGCCCGGATGACAAGGTGAAGGTGGAGTCAGGGTTCTTAGATTTGTACAACTCCAAGGTGTCCGCCTGCAACTATTGCTCCTACTCGGCCCGCGACTAGGTACATGGCCTAGGAAAGCGTTAGAAAGGTTGTTATAACGGTAACGAATCGCGGCCTTATGGTACGTCACGGTAATAGGGTGTGAAAAAGGTTTTGATAGAAATATTTGGTTAACAACGGCCGTTTTTGGTTTGCTCAATGTGATCTCTTAGGAAAACAAATGGAGGAGCGCGTTGTTTTCTATAATAACCCTGTAGGCCGGTCCTGAGTGTACCGGGACTCGGACGAGTCTGTTATGGGCGAGACTGAGTCTCCCCTAGTTGTGTGTTGAATTCGGGGATATTATAATTTATTTTAAAATTCTGGAATATTATAAAAAATGTGAGATTGATCTTTTTTTTGTGTATGATTGGTATGATTTCGGCTAGGAAAAAGTTTATAGAAGGAGGCTACCTTATAATGTAGAACTACGGATGCCCTTCAAAAATCCATCGGAAAAGGTAGTTTTAATGTTGAAAAACCCTTTGATTGATCATCTCGACATCGAGATGTATGAATATGAAAAATAAAAATATTTTAAGTCTCAGAAATAGTGCATTTTATAACATATTATCTACATCGTCTATTTTCAAGATTTTCATATGTTTATAAATCTACTTGATTTTAACCATTTTTTGAAATTTAAAATTTTATAATTAGATATAAAAATAGATTTTGAGATAATTCTAAGAACATTTTAAATCAAAATTATATACTATGATAAAATTTGAAGGTGCACCTTACCTCTACACCTACGGATGCATCTGTATGCCAACTGCACCTTTTCGGCAATGATCGGTGAGTGTTTTGTTTTTGCCATAAATCTCTATTTTTTTTACTTTTTTTTTTGGATTTCTAAACTTATTTTTTAAAATACATCTTTAAGTCTATTTGGGCTCCTTAAGGTTTTTTGTTTGATTTTGTTTTTAATATATTTTCTATTTTTTGGAGTTTTCTACAATTTTTTGTTTCAATTTAGTGAGGGCCCTATGCGTGGACTCCACCGAGGTAGGCCAACAAGAGTACCTTGCCCGAGTCGATTTTTTGTATAGTGCTAGTCCGCTTATCTGAAATATTTAATAAATTGAGATACATATATAAGTTGTTTCTTTAGTTTGGTAACAAGTAAAACATTGGGGATATCTAAATAACCAAGAGCGGTGGAAACAATCACAGATCCAATGTGGGTTATAAGTAAAGCAGTACCATTTCCAGTGAAAACCATGCAAAGACCGTGGTAAGGAATCACAACTCAAAGTTGAGAGTTGTCATATGTCATATGAACAATTGCACCAGAGTCCATAACCCATTATTGATCAGTTGGGGTAGTGATCTAAAGGTTGTTAAAATCATGCACTAGCGCATTGTGAGATGATGAAACATTTTTTATGTCCCAAAAGTTTTTAGCAATAGACCCATGTCGTCCACAATACTACCAGGTTACACCACGTGCTATACCCATTCTTGGCTGAAGAGGTTGATGGTTAGATAGTTTGACTCCCAGAATGCCTTGTTGATTTTGGTTGCGATCTCTACCTTCGTAACGGTCACATCCTTGGCCATATCCTCCTCTATGTCCTAGTGATGTGTTCATCAAGGCATGATGATTACTCTCAATGATTGATGAAGATATAAATCGAGTTTCGTATGTGATAAGGGAAGATCGAAGCTCTGAGAGGAACATAAATGGAGGTTTGGTCAAACGAGAAGTCTCAAAGGACAAACTTTAGACAAGGCCTTTGAGACTATAGCGGACCATATCTTGATCAGTCATTGGACAACCAATAGCTGTAAGATGGTCACATATAGTTATTCGGATATTCTGTCACTGATTGAAGCCCTTTTTGTAAATTGATCAATTAAGTTTTAAGTTGGAGAACATTGGCAAATGTTTCACTTTGATATGTATTATAAAGTGTCTCCCACACTTATTGAGTTGCCTTTAGGTACATGACTTCAGTAAGCAAGTCATTAGAGAGTATAGAGAGAAACCAGCTCAATAACGTTTTATCCTTCATCTTCCCTTCTAGAAATTTGGGGTTCTTTGATAGTTTTGGGTTAGAGCCTGAACCATCTTTTGGTTAATTCAAGACTTGAGCCTTCCATTTGTGACAGTTGTCTCTACTTAATTTAATAGATATAAAGAATGGAAAATAAAGGATGGAAAATTAAGTGAGGCCATAAATGAAAGGACATGTTACTTGACTTATTTAATAGATATAAAGGATGGAAAATAAAGGATGAAAAATTAAGTGAGGCCATAAATGAAAGGACATGTTACTTGACTTAAGGTTTTGAGAGACAACGGGGAGTATTTCGGTATCATACTTTCTGAAGTTTAAGTAACAAGCTAAGACTTACTTCGGTTGAATTGGTGCCAAAGTAAAAAACTGACCTTTCAAAATCAACTTTTGTAAAAGAGGTATCAGAATCAACTTCGATGAGAGGTGCTGAAGTTGACGAACCAGAACTTACTATGGTATGAGGGGTGCCGAAGTTGTCAAGCACATAACAGAACCTACTTCGGTTGAATTGGTAGCTAAGTTAAATTTAAGAATAGGGAGAACTGACGTTACCAGAAGATTGACTTTATAGCTTTTACAAGTGGGAGAGAAAGGAGAGAAAGTGACTTCCAAACAAAGAGATAGAGAATGACTTTTCAACAAATCTCCAACAAAGGCAAAGCAAGATATAGAGAGAGAGTCCACTTAACAACTTTTACAATAGAGAAGAGAGAGAAACTACATATTTTCTAAAAGAGAGATAAAACCACTGTATTCAAAACCACTTAAGAGGCAGGGACTCTACGAGATAATAGATTTAGCAATACAG